TTTGTCCTGACTTGGCCCTAGCTAGAGCGGGCACTCGCGTAGCTTCGCCTCGCCTCGCCCGAACGCAGGACACGAACGAAGCGAAACGATGTCTTGGTTGGGGCACCTTATTTTTCACTCTGGTCGCACCCCCAGCATCCGATTATGGCAACGTACAGCGTATTTTTTGTTCTGCTGAGCTAGCAGGGCGCATGTTGATGCTACTATGGCCACGCGGTATCGTCGGGACAATCGCCTGGCCAAGTTTCACTCCTCGGTCCCGTCTGGGGCGGCGCCCCTTTTCTTGTCTGGCTTAGCCCCATCTGAAGCAGGAACTCGCATAGCTTCTCCTCGCCCGCACGCAAGCCACGAACGACACGAAACGGCATCCCAGTTGGGGCACCTCACGGTTCACATCGGTCACACCCACCAGCCACCCATCTACCGATTTCACGCCCTCTCGATCCCTCGGTCACGAGACTAATCTCATTGCACCAGACCGGAACCCCAAACAGCGGATGTCCTGGAATGTACGCACGCCGGCCACGAGTTCCCTGTCTCTCACACGATCTCTGCTTCCATCGATTGTGTTGATCTCGAGTATTTCACTTGGTATGCTGCCCTCACACCTTGCTCTGTACTGTATTGTCCCACGCCTACTCTTAAATGTATATGCAGACATGGACTTAGTGTGTGTGTGCCTATCTCTCCCTCTCTCTGTCTCCAGCCCTACATCTCTCTCTCTCTCTGTCTATATATGTACCCCCAACGCCGCTCTATGCTCTCTGATACGTACTCTCTATCTGTGACAAATACGATACCAGTATCTCCTCGACCTCCCTCTTTCAATGTGTATGTACATGCATGTGTATAGCAGTGCTCACACTTACTCTTGTTCTGTCTCTCTTCTTCTATCGCTTGACATCGTGTCTGGCCCTCCCTGCACAAAAAGCATATGTCTCATTACCTGCTTACTCTATACATCTACCTGCAAGATTCGCTCTACATTCTCTTCTCCAACCTTTATCCTTTCTGCTTGACTTTGATTTCTCCTTTCTACAAATGTACTCTACGCTCTACCGTACTTATACACATATACTCGCGTTCTCCCTCGTCGCAAACGCGTGGAGCAACTCGAGAAAATAAAAATCCCGCCGTACCATGAACCCTGGTTCTGGAAACTGGGAGACCTGTGGCCAACGGAATTCGCGGCGCGGACCCCAAAACCGCGACTGTGAGACCCGGCTGTCTGAGCAAATCGGCCCCGTCACTTTCGCCTACTCGTTCAGTCTTCAATGTGACCCCTTCAATGCAAGCACTGCTTTCGGAACTCTTCTCTGCTTTGATTCTCTCTTATACATTATCTCTGTCTAGATGTATGTACTGTATATATATAGTGTATGCACATGTGTGTCTCTGAATTCGTCTACAATCTCTTTCTCCCTCTTTCTCTCTCTCTCTCTCTCTGATCGGGCGCTCCCTTCGCCTCTCGCGGTGCACATGTATAGATATACTCCATCCGATCGCTGTTGCCTGCTCTGATATGTACGCGCGTATACACATACATATATGTGTAGATATCCAGATCCTGAAATATGAAATGTGCTATCTCTCAGCCATGCGGTCTACTATACACCACACATATAATCTTCACAAATTTGGAAAGACTTTACCATTTTGATCGTGTTCGCAGAAACCTGGGCACTTGGTAGCAAACAATAACTCAAATACGTGGGACTGTTGCCAAGCTGGAAGCTCCGTGAAAGGAAAAGAAAACCTGGAACCCAACCGCCCACCGAAAACGGACTTGAACCTAAACCCGAAACCCGGAACCGGGAACCCAGCCGCCCACGGGGATCGGCGCCGTTCTTTCGCATCCTCTTTCAACATTCGCTAGGGCGCCTTCAGTGCAATCACTGATTAGGGACTTGTCTATACATCTATCTCACTATCTCTCTATTGATCCCACTACCTCTGCTTACAGATGGGATCAACACAAAAAAACCACGGGACACCCACGGTACAATCACGGGATAAACGCAAAACAACCACGAGTCACACACGGGATAACCACTAGACACCCACGGGACAACCACGGGGCAAACGCGGGACAACCACGGGTCAGCCACGGGATAACTGCGGGACAACCACAAGACATTCACCAGAGACCGACCTAGATATCACTCAATTGACTGTGCATCGACGGACCATCATCCACCACGGAGAAACATCGGACAACCACCAGGCAACTACAGGACAACCGAGGGACAGTCACAGGCCGACAACGGGACAACGTCGGGACAACCGCGGGATCACCCCCGACACACCACTGGACAACGACGGGACAACCGCGGGAGAACCCCGGGCACGCCACAGAACAATGAACGGGACCACCGTGGGACGACCGGGGCACGCGCGGCACGGGCCAGGGCAAGAACTCGCGCTGCCTCGCCTCCTCCTCCGCATGCACGCCACGCACCTCACGAATCGCTACCGAACTGGTGTCTCGAGTGGGGGCCTCCCCTGGTACTTCGGTCTCGCCTCCCTCAACCTCTTATCTGGGATGACGAATCCGCCAGGATGAACGCCAGTGCGAGGGGGTGTCCAGGACCCGACCTTTGGCAGATCAAAATCCCAAAGGGGCATATTTTCAGGTCTGTATGAGCTTCGGAGGAAAAGAGGGGAGAGGAGAGAAGGGAGGCCATCTCGATCCACCCTCCTCCTGCCGCGGTCTGCATCCTACCCCTCCCTTTCCCCCTCATCCTCCAGGAGGCCACAGGAACCAAGGAGAGCATTGCCCAACGACCTCACCTGTAAAACATAACCATCAAATCATACTGGGTGCATCGATTCACTCAACTGCTTCATTCCGTACAGTCAACCAGTATAGTACGGATGCGCGACAAGGATGCAAGGGCTTTCGACGCCCATTTCGAAGCTCCTCGAGCTGGGCGCGGCCAGCGAAAGCGGCGAAGGATGGACCGAGGAGGCAAGGATATCCTAGGGAACGAAAAGCAGCCGCCGGAGCATCGGCGATAGGACGCGACTCTCCGAGCCCGTCTGCCTCGGCCACACGTGGGTGGCCCCCTCCCAGAGTCCACACCGCCCAGGGGCAGGAGGAGGAGGAGGAGGAGGAGGAGGGGGAGGGGGAGGGGGAGGAGGAGGAGGAGGAGGAGGAGGAGGAGGAGGAGGAGGAGGGGGAGGAGGAGGAGGGGGGAGGAGGAGGGGGGAGGGGGAGGAGGAGGAGGAGGAGGAGGAGGAGGAGGAGGAGGAGGAGGAGGAGGGATGCAAGGGTACCCTGGGGAAGGTTGCCCATCCTTGCTGTGCGGGTTGACTGCACGGCATTCGAAAAGGACCAGGCGGCGGTGGAGGTTCGCGGCACCGACTGCAACGCTTTTTCCGCTGCCGCGACTGGTGCCGCCCCGCCAACTCTCGGGGGCCAAGGCGTTCGAACGAGAGCATGCGTCTTGAATCCTCGGAGCTCCCTTCTCGTCAGCTTTCGTACGTCAGGTTCGTGTCGTGCCGACTTCGGCGTTGGTTTCTGACACCGCGGGGATCGTTCAACCTTGACGATCGGCCTTTCCGAAACGTCCAAATCGTTCCACATCGAACGATTCTGAGTCGCCCGCGGCGTTCAACGTTGAACGTCGCTGGCGGGGTCGCCGCCAGTCGACACGACACGAACCTACCGTAGGTTACCGGTCAAACGTATTTGCATGCAAGGAGCAACTCAGATAGTGGGCTTTTCTCGCAAGAGCGGTCGCACATACACGGCAAAATATTGCAGGGGTGCCAGTTGCAACGGTGTTGGTCATCCACGTGCTGTGGTTACACACTGGTGTCCACGCCTTTCTCCGATCATATTGCCGGAGCATGGGCCGATGAAAATCCTGGGTCATGGCCATCACGTTGTCCCCCATCTCGTGGCAAGAAAGACATTCATATACCGACCTCAATCCCAGACTGTGTCAAACTGTCGGCACCCTCTGGTATGGGTAGGTGCTCTTGGAATGCAGCTGAAACTCGCAGACATCTCACGAGCGGATAACCGCACCTCCAAACTAGCCTTTCGGCCCAGTCGTTCCCCTGTGCATGCCGTCTCTCAAGGTGCGTCCCGACGTCGCTCAAACTCTCGCTGGGCTTGGGACACACCAAATCATATATTCGAGACCATCGCCAGAAGCCCGCCTGAAGTGAACTCAGACCTCTCGCCCGTTCGGGGTTCAGGGCTCCATGAAGTAGCTCTCGACAACCGACATGCAGTGGCGTCGCATGCGTCACATTTTCACCTCTACGCAACTCAGGCACAGCGAAGGCCACATGCTCGGCAACGACAAGGGGAAGACCTCTCCAGGGGTACCTTTTGACCTCAATGTCGAGGACACTGCAGCCGTGGCAACGAGAAGCCTCCCATATGCACAAGAAGGGAGAAACAAGTCCAGCAAACCTCGAGCCTCTCCTGTCTCTTCGCCTCTACCCCCTACCCTTAGGTCTGGCGTGTCCCCCTACAGGCGGATTGTGGACGACAAATAACACATACCCCATACATACTCCAAAATGGTAAACAAAGAATCGAACAATCGTCCCCGACTAGTTCTTGCTATTTTTCAATCGTCTTCCAGTACTGGGACGTGCCCGACTTAACCCTACCCCACAACCCTCCTGCCGCGGCGGATGGTGATGATCGCCGCGGCGACTCCAGACTCACGCTGCCTCCCCCGCGGCCCCCGCGCGCGTCACTCTGTACCTGCCGGGCCCCCGCAAAGGGCGCGTCCGCGCAGGGAGGAGTGCGCGGCCCAACGGGCCAGAGGCGTGCTAAAATCTCCGGTAAGAGCTGTCGAATATTCCTAATTCGCGAGCGCGCGCGGGGCGGCCCCTGGGGTCCCTGGACGAGACGTACGTACCCCGTGAAGGTCCCAGAAAAAATTGATCAGACACATGGTTGTTCTACCGGGCGTGGCCTTCGGGGCTCCCAGTGGCGCTCCAGAAGACGCAGGGCGCTCCAGGACCCCGCCCGAGAGGTTGCCACGACGGTCTCATTGCGCTCCAGAATTGCCGAAGATGGTTTCAGGAAAGCTCAAGAGCGTCCCGAGACAGTCCAGGAGCGCTCCATGACAGCACGATATTGCCTCGAGCAGCCAAAGAGGCTCCCAAGAACGCTCCAAGCGCGCGGACACCCAAGAAGGCCCCGTGAGGGAAAGAAGCATGGATTCTCCCCTCACGTTTTTCGCCGATTCTCAAGGTCTTGCCTTTCAGGCGTCCGTCGGCTCAAGAAAACCAGAAAGGCGTTCGACATGGCCCCAAATGCCTTCACCATAGCCCCAAGACGGCACAAGAGGCCCTCACCATCGCTCCAAGACAATTCGAGAGGCCTCCAGGACGGCCCAGAGACTGCCCAAGTGGACCCCAAGACGGCCAACGAGCCTCCCACGACGGCCCGAAAGGTCTCCAACAGGTGCCCAAGAAGGGAAGCACACACGTACGTACATGTCCAGCCCTCCGCTCCAAGACACTAAGCCACAACCCAGGCGCGATGGAGGCGTGAACCGAAGGCTTAAACGTTGCCCTCAACCTGCAAATGGACTGCTTACACCAACGCGAGCTTCACACGACACCTTGTTGAACTGACCACAACCCAACACCTTCTGCGCGGGAACACGGGCAAAGGACAACGATAATGCAAAATGGGCCAGCGGAATGAACGACACGCTTGAATTCGGCGGGCCCCCTGCAGGCCTCAGCCAAGTCAGCCGTCGAGGGTAGACAATGAGAGGGATGATACGGGAGGAATGTGAGATGGCATGGGGCCTTGCCCGTTCCGTCGGTCGATGATGTGTTGGAAACTGCTTCGATGCGGCTATTGTTTATGAATTCTCCCGGGAAGGCACGCAAACTTAACTTACGAATGAGACGTGCGCGCATTCCGCCGGCCGATTTCCTTTTTTCTTGGGAGCACGGAACAATCTGTCGACCCTTCCGCGTGCGGAAGACGCTGTCGTCGTCGTCGTCGTCGTCGTCGTCGTCGTCGTCGTCATCACTGGGTCCACCTCCAGCGCGCCAGCCACAGCGAAACCGAACCGAAACCAAATCGAACTTGAGCCACATCGCAGTTGGCTCGAGGGGAAGCCCCTCCCCTTGGATCCCTCCCCCCCCCCGGGCAAGGGGTCCTGGGGGGAGTGGGGGGAAGACGGGGGTGTGGAGGTGGGGGGGAGGGGAGAGGGGGGGGATCCTGGGTCAGAATGCAATCCCCCTCCGGGGGTCCTGGGGCCCAAGAAGGCCCCAAGACAGTCCAGGAAGTTCCCAAGACGGTCCAATGAGGGCCCCGAATCGCTGAACGAGCGGTCCAAGATGCCAGACCGCCTCCTCACAACTCAAGCGGCTGCCAAGACGCTCGAATTGGCCTCCACGAGCACACCAAGAGGGCCCCAACAGGCAAAATGCGACGATTTTCCTTAGGTGTTCTCACCTTCTCAGCTTCTCGACGCTCCTAGACGGCCCAGGATACCACCAAGATCGGCTCAATAATCCTCCAAGAGATTCCCAAGACATCCCCAAATCGACCCAAAGAGGGGCCCAAGACAGCCCCAGAGGCCCCCCATACGGCCCCAGAGGCCCCCAAAGTGGCTCCAAGAGGGTGCCCACACGGGAGCCCGAACGAACATTTTGAGCCCTCGGCCCCGAGAAGCTCACAGTAGGCCTCAAACGGCCCCAAAGAGGCCCCCACACGACCCCAAGAGGCCCCCCCAAACCCCACACAAATCCCGAAGAGACCCACAAGCGGCTCCCAAGAAGGCCTCCAAAATGCTCCCAAGAGGCTCCCGAACTGCCCTTCCGAGGCTTATGACAGCGCTCCGACCAGCCCCCACGAAGTATCCCTGAGGACTCTGCCCAACGTCAACGTCGTCGTCGCCGCCGACGCCGCCGCCGTCGTCGTCGTCGTCCGCCGTCGCCGTCGCCGTCGCCGTCGCCGTCGCCGTCGTCGTCGTCGTCGTCGTCGTCGTCGTCGTCGTCGTCGTCGTCGTCGTCGTCGTCGTCGTCGTCGTCATCAGGGTCGGCGGCACCGGCCGCCAGGCCTTCCCAACAAGTAACATGTGCCCCAAGCGCTAGGCCCACGCGCGTGACAGCTCCTGGGACACGTAGAAACACTAGTGGGCTGCGCCCTCAGGCTGCGAAGGCCTCGTTTCGGCGCACCCATCACTCATCTCCTGCTCCATACTCTACCTGGACACGTGAAAATACTAGTGCTCTAAGCTTCGAAGGCCACGAATGGTTCAAGTCTAAACACCCCTCACACAGTTCCTGGACCATACTTTCATGGGACACGTGAAACATACGAGTGACCTGCGCTCTCAGGCGGGCGTGCCCCTCGCGCTCTCAGCTGTCCCCTCCGATGGCCCAGGGGAGATTAAAGGTCGAGGCAAGATCCCCAACACCCATGATTGCAAAAACTGCGATCAAACTTCCCCCTGGGGGCCTGCCGTGACTCCGGTTCTGCGGGCTCGATTCGGCGGGTCCCCCTGCGGGGCATCGCCGTGCCGTCTTGGCCTTCGACGATCGAGATGATATGGAGGATGATGGAGGAGAGTGAGAAGCATGCATAAAGTACACGTCGGTCGGAAGAAGTAGGTAAAACCATGAAGTATGAAGGCGGATAAAGTGGATTGGGTCCAGGCCGTCTCAGATAAAAACAAAACACAGCAACAGCAAGCCGATTCTTGAAATAGGAAGGCGCTTGAAGTAGATTGGGATGTGGGGATCCAAAAATACCTACTTTCAACGACAGGCGTGTATGGTAGAACAAGATTCGCCCCTTCCGCCAGAGGAGGAGGAGGTGGAGGATGAGGTGGAGGAGGAGGAGGAGGAGGAGGAGGAGGAGGAGGAGGAGGAGGAGGGTGGAGGAGGAGAAGGAGGAGGGGCGGAGGAGGAGGAGGGAGGAGGGAGGAGGTGGAGGAGGAGGAGGAGGAGGAGGAGGAGGAGGAGGAGGAGGAGGTGGGAGGAGAGAGGGTGGAGGAGGGAGGGAAGAGGAGGAGGAGGAGGAGAAGGAGGAGGAGGAGGAGGAGGAGGCTTTCCGCAGCTCTCCCGGTGGCATGCAAACGTGTGCACAGCGAGGAAGCGTGCTCCCCGCGCGAGGCCCACGCGCGCCGCTTGCTCACGGGGCACGGGGGGGGAAAAAAAACACGAGCGAGACGTGCTCCAGTGGCCTCACAGTGAATGGGCCCTGGGGCACACAAATAACAGGATGCCCCATATATTCTCACATGTTCTGGGTTTTTGGCTTCCCCACACTTTCCGTATTTGCCCATATTTTCCGGGGAATCGACGATTACTTGTGTCTGTGTTTCTTTCCCTCCTGACACAGGGCCGTCTCGCTCGGGGCATCCTCGACGCATCGGCTTCGGAGAGCGCTCCGAATCTCAGCAGCCGCAGCTTCACTCGGGACGGCCCCGAGAGCTCGGCTTCGGAGAGGGCTCCGAAATGTCACGGTGTCAGTTTCGCTGAGTACATGTTCTATAGATAAGCCTCGGAGGGGGCCTCCGAATCTGAGCGATGGCAGTTTCGCTCGCGACATCCTCGACATTCTGCCTCGGAGGGCGCTTCGAACATTAACCCCCACGGGGCGCCAACATGGCCCCAACGATTGGTACCGACCCTCGTCGAGGCAATATTCCTAACACCCACTGATTGCAACATCTGCGTGCAAACTTCACACTGGGAGCCCGCCGTGTTTCCCGCTCTGCGGCCTCAGTAAGAGAGAGGCGACGGCTGCCACTGTGGCCATGGTGGCCCAAGGTGCCCGCAACTGTCCAGGCTACGGTGAGACCCACGGGGCCTTTTGGGCCTCGTGAAGGGTGCGTTGGAGGCTACCTGGGCATATCTGGAAAAGCTGGGGCCACCCTGGGCGAGGGTCACCTCTGCCGCGGGCGCGAAACGGACTGATAGGCCAGGTTGCGGAGGGTGAAGGGAAGGCGGGGGGGAGGAGGACGAGAAGGGCGGAGGAGGAAGAAGATGAGGAGGGTGAGGGGTGGAGGAAAACGAGGGAGCACGAGTAAACGAGCGCGTTCCACTACTCGCAAGGTGACCACTCGCAAATGGCCTGGAGCCGCCGCGGGGGATCTACGATCCATTACATCGAAGCAAACCTGTGTCTTGACGTTTGCGAGTAGGCACTTTGCGAGTAGCGGAACGCGTTCGGCGAGGTGTGTGGGCTGCGACCCTTCCTACCAACTCTGCTCTTACAGTACCGGCGATGACGGGCGATTAGCTACCGGGTGGCCCAGGGTGGCCCTGGCGGTTCACCTAGCCCACAAGGACGGCGCCAAGATGCCTCACGCTGGGCCGAGGATGGCTGGGACAGGCCAAATATGGCCGAACACGTCCAACCACAATATCCCAGGACCGCCCCAGAGGACACCAACAGGAACTCGATTTGAAAGGTATCGGATATGCTAAAAACGATCTCACCAGCCCTCGGAGAGAGGTGGTATGACGAGATTGGTGTAAACATATTTTCCAAAAAGCCTCCTTCCCCTAATCGGGAAGCGGCTGATCACTGCCCCTTCTTAAATGTACACGCCCTCCCCACCCGACAGGCGACAAACTCAGGACAATGCCCCCCCTACACCGCCCCTGCCAACCAAACCATTGCAAAATGCACTCTGCGGCACAAATCTTGGGTCACGTTGGGGAGGAACGTCGGAGGAGGAGGAGGAAGGAGGATGGGAGATGGAGGCAGGAGGAGGGAGGAGGGAGGAGGGAGGAGGGAGGAGGAGGGGGGAGGAGGAGGGAGGAAGGGAGGAGGAGGGGAGGAGGGAGGAGGTAGGAGGGAGGAGTGGGAGGAGGTGGGAGGAGAGAGGGTGGAGGAGGGAGGGAAGAGAGGAGGAGGAGGAGGAGGAGGAGGAGGAGGAGGAGGAGGAGGAGGAGGAGGAGGAGGAGGTGGGAGCAGAGAGGGTGGAGGAGGGAGGGAAGGAGGAGGAGGAGGAGGAGGAGGTCGGCCCCCTGACCTGGTCACACCCCAGGCCCCACAGGCCAGCGCCGTGCTGGAAGCTCCCGCGGCCTGCACCACGTCGTAGCACCGCCGCGGGCGGTCCTCGGGGCCCTCCGCCGCGCCCCGCCCTCCCCTCTCGGGGGCGCGCAAACATGGAGTTGACCTAAGGAACGATAAATAAGGAACGAGGCCACTTTTTCCCATAACTTAAACTCCGATGCTCCATGGAAAACCTCAGGAAAACCCAAGGAGCACTGTAAGGCAACTAAGGAACACGGAGCCCCTCCCCAACAAAAAGGGTTCCTTCTTCAGGGCCACGACGGTAATCAGGATGCGCGGTAAGGATGCAAGGGCCTTGGAGGGCCACGTTCGTGTTTTCTAGCGAGGCTGGCCAGCGAGAGCGGCCAAGGACGGGCCGAGGATGCCAGGATGCAAGGGTACCCTTGGGAAAGGGTGCCAGTCCTGACTGTGCTGGTTGACTGTAGCGATCCATGGATGTGGCGCGCGGTCGCCAAATCCATGGATCGGGGGAGGTGCCCTCCCCAAAATGCGGCCAAAGCCGCCTCGCTCGGCGGCGGGAATCCGCGACGTCCAATGGAAGCGGGACCCGTCGCCAATCCACGCCCCCTTGATCCATGTTTGCGATCGCCTGGCCCTCCTCGTGCCCCTCATCCCCCTCCGTTCGGCGGCGGGCGAGGGGGGGAAGTGAGAAAGGGCGGGCCTTCTCTCAGAAGGCTCGGAAGAGTCACGCTGGGGGGGCGCGAACATTCCGTATCGTTCCCAACCATCCCGTGTTGAGTTGGGTCCCCGTCTTGAATCAGCCGGCGTCCAACCCCTCCTTCCTTCCTCCTCGCCCCCCTCACACGCTTCGAGGCCCCATAAGAGCTCCACCCGAGGCTTCAGCACCCCACTTTGGCACACACCTCTCACATGTTTCGTGCCCCCATGTAGCTGCGTTCGTGTGCCTTCTCCGAATCATGTCGGCGCACCGCTCACACGCTTCGTGGTCCCATAGGGAGCTCCTCCGAAGGCCTCAGTGGTTGCGTTCTCATGCCGCCGCCAGCCCACATTGGCGCACCCCTCACACGTTTCGTGGCCCCAAGGGGAGATCCACCGAAGGCCTCCATGGTTGCGTTCGCATACCGCAGCCACCCCACGTTGGAGCACCCCTCACACGTTTCGTGGCCCCAAAGGGAGCTCCATCGAAGGCCTCTATGGTTGCGTTCGCATGCCGCTGCCAGCCCACTGTGGCGCACCCCTCACACGTTTCGTGCCCCAATAGGGAACTCCACCTACGGCCCCAGTGGTTGTGTTCGTATGCCGCTGCCACTCCAACTTGGCGCACTCCTCACACGTTTCGTGGCCCCATAGGGTCATAGGGAGCTCCACCTAAAGCCCCAGTAGCTGCGTTCGCATGTCTCCAGGCCCCAGTGGCAGGAATCACATGCATGACCACGCCCATGTCGGACCCCCCTCAAACGTGGCCCAATAGGAAGCTCTGCCTAAGGCCCCATTTGCAAGAATCGCAAGCGTGACCATGCTCACTTCGGTTCGATGAGGTTCAAGTGAAAATACAACGCGTCTAAAAACATGGGATCCTCGATCCTTGACCTTGTTCCTCGTCCTCCTCCACCCCGTTTCCCTATACGTAACTTCTCCATGTCGCACCCCGAGGCTAGATTTTAGGGCGGCCCAGGCGTTTAGCCTGAGACTTCCTCACCATGTATGACTCTGAAGCTTGAAACATGGCAACAGTTTCACAGATGGAGGGCGGGTGGTTTCCAACATGTGGATCTCGCCTTAGAGCCGCGCACATTTGCTTTAAACATTTGCAAGAGCTTCACGGATTGAGGGTGGGTGGTTTTCAAAATGTTGATCTCGCCTTAGCGCCACGCGCATTCGTTTTTAATTTACCAAGCGAAGGACCCAACCATACGCAGTTGGGAGTACCGCGATGTTGACTATCTTCTTCAGTGGCGACCCCTATGGGGCCACGAGCCGTGCGAAGAGTGTGCCGACATGTGTGGCGGGGTACACAACACGAACGGAAACGATAGGCCTGATCACGGGGGACTGAGCGCGGGTGAGACTGAGCGCGAGCGCGTCTGATTGTGATTGAGTCTGCGTGCGTGTAAGTCGATGTGCGTGAATGCGAGCATGGATGCGCCTACTGTAAATGTATATGACTTATGACTGTGAATACTGTGCGTGGCGGGGGCCTAACGGGCCACGAAGCGTGTGAGGGGCGTACTGTACTGGGTGTGGCGGACGCATGCGGGCACCCCCACTGGGGCCGCAGGTGGAACTCCCTATGGGGCCACGAAGCGCTGTACTGAGTGTGGCGGACGCTTGCGGACGCGGACGCATGTGGCCACCCCCACTGGAGCTTCGGTGGAGCTCCCTATAAGGCCACGGAGCGCTGTGCTGTGCTGGGCGTGGCGGACGCATGTGGTCCCCCCCACTGGGGCCTTCGGTGGAGCTCCCTATGGGGCCACGCAGCGCTGCATTGGGTGTGGCGGACGCATGTGGCCACCCCCACTGGGGGCTTGGGTGGAGCTCCCTATGGGGCCACGAAGCGCTGTACTGGGTGTGGCGGACGCATGTGGCCACCCCCACGGGGCTTTCGGTGGAAATCCCCATAGGGCCACGAAGCACTGTACTGGGTGTGGCGGACGCACGTGGCCACCCTCACTGGGGTCTTAGGTGGAGCTCCCTATAAGCCACGAAACGTGTGAAGGGTGTGCCAACATGGGTGTGGCGGACGCATGTGGCCACCCTCACTGGGGCCGCAGGTGGAGCTCCCTATGGGGCCGCGAAACGCTGTACTGGGTGTGGCGGACGCATGTGGCCAACACCGCTGGGGCCGCAGATGGAGAGCTGACGCATGTGGCCACCCCCCTAGGCCTTGGGTGGAACTGAGGCCACGAAGCGCTGTACTGGGTGTGGCGGACGCATGTGGCCACCCCCACTGGGGCCTTGGTGGGAGCTCCCTATGGGGCCACGAAGCGCTGTACTGGGTGTGGCGGACGCACGTGGCCACCCCCACCGGGGCCGCAGGTGGAGCTCCCTATGGGGCCACGAAACGCTGTACTGGGTGTGGCTGACGCATGTGGCCACCCCCACTTGGGCTTTAGGTGGAGCTCCGTATGGGGCCACGAAACGCTGTACAGAGTCGGTGAAACGCAGGGGGAGGGAGGAAGGGGGTGGAGGAGGGACAAGGGAGGAAGGAACGCGGGGACCGTCTCTTCAAAACGAGGACCCAACACCACAAGATGGTTGGGACAGAGTTGCAAGAGTTTCACGGATTGAGGGCGGGTGGTTATCAAAATGGGGCTCCCGCCTGAGCGCCGCGCGCATCTGTTTTAAACATGTGCAAGAGTTTTACTCATTGAGGGCGGCTCCTTTTCGAAGTATGGCTCTCGCCTTAGCGCCGCGCACATTCTTCTAAACAAATTGTAAGATTCTCACGCGTGATCAACGTACCAGAAATGGTGTTTGGGAATATTCAGGATTATGCGGGTGCAAGAGTTATGTTGAGTCGCGGTGCTGAAGTCCCAAAAATGGTGTTCTGGCACGATTCCAGATCGTCAGGACGCAGCAGTCAGGTTGATGCGTGGCGTGGAAATCCCGAGAACAATGTTTTGGCATGCGTCATGGTCTTCAAACGGTTGTCTTCCAACGAGGCAGTTCCCTCAATGGAAATGAACCTTTGTAGGGGCCTATGCAGAGGGAGCCTGGAGGGAGGGTGAATTCCAATATCGTTGATGACTCATGGGTTTACACTGGTCCTCCTCCTCCTTCTCCTCCTCTTCCTCATCCGATTCCTACTGAAATCTGAGGGGGATAATGACGACGACGTCGACCCCTGACGGTCTCGGGAGCTCTTCGGTTACCCGAGGCGGTCTCAAGAATCATCCGGGATACTTCCCGAGGCCCTAAAAATGGCAGACACCGTTCCATCAGATAAGCCTTCGATCCACAAGACAAGACATCTCGCGCTTCGATCCGTTCGATGTGCGGCAGACCTCACCGCTCCTCCAAAGAACCAACTTCGTCCCGAATATAGCTTCCGTGGACGGCCCCGAGGCCCCAAGCCGACCTCCTCCAGGGGCCCCAGCATGGCAACAGGCCGGCCGTCTCGATCTGCTCGAGGCGCCAGACGTCTGCTGGCGCAGAGCGAGGTTGGGAAGGCCAGAGGGAAGCCTCCTCAGAAGGCTCGAAGTCCCCTAGCCTTCGGAAGAGTTTGCTGAGCCTTCCCCGAGGACACAAACAGCTTCCCAGATCGAAGGCGGGATGGCTTCTGAGAAGTCCCACTGCCTTCTGAGAAAACCTTCTTCTTCTTCTTTCCCCCCTGAGACGGAATCCAGGACGAGGATCAAATCGGGTGAGGCTAATCGAGAATCTCTGAGATCCGGCGGCTCTGGAGGATGTCTCGGGCGCCGCAGCCTTCTCAGAGCGCTCCGGAACGCTCTGAGAGCGTTCCGGAGCGCTGTGAAACGGATTTCTCCTCGTCCTAGCCTGAGGTCGGGCGTGTCCTCCTACAGGCGCATTTTGGACGAAAAATGCAACATTGTCAAAACATAGCCAGAACATGCTAAAACAAATCCCCATACTATTCGTGGACTAAGTATAATTCCTCCTGTAGAGGGACATGCCCGACTTACAATCCTAGCCCCGTCCGACCCCCTCGCTCGCCGACAAGTCTGGGCTCGAGCTTCGACAGATCTCTCGGGGGCGGCCAAGAGGGGGGCGTCCTAAAGAGGGGGTGCAAATCATGGCCGGCGGCATGTGCGCGGAGCAGGGGGGAGGGCAGGGAACGTATTGAAAGTAAGGAGCAGCGCCATGAAACCTCGGGAGATCTCATGGCCCCCGCCATGAGATCCCCCCCTAGTCCCTTGGGAGCCTCTTGGGCCGTCTTGGGGCGGTCCTGGGGGCCTTTTGGGCCGTCGTCCACGCCGTGAAAGCCGAAGAGCCGTAATTATGTGCTAAAGCTACACGTTTCCCCTTGGAAAATCAAGGATCTTGGCCTCTTGGGGCCCCGCCATGCGATCCCCCCTCTCCCTCATCAGTCATCGCCCCCCTCGAGGCCGCCCCCCGCATCTCCCACAGCCGCCCCGACCCGCCCGCCGAGGAGGAGGAGGACGAGGAGGAGGAGTTGGAGGAGGAAGAGGTGCAGGAGAGGAGGAGGAGGAGGAGGAGGAGGAGGAGGAGGAGGAGGAGGAGGAGGAGGAGGAGGAGGAGGAGGAGGAGGAGGAGGAGGAGGAGGAAGGAGGAGGAGGAGGAGGAGGGGGAGGAGGAGGAGGAGGAGGAAGGGGAGGAGGGAAGCTAGGCGTGCTGGAGGCTCGACCTTCCCTGGAGCCGCAGGCGGTCCTCCGCGCCCGGGCCCTGGCCGGCGGCCGGGCGCAGCTCCCCGCCGCCGCAGCCGCCGCCGAGGCTCAGGCCGAGGAGGCCCTCCTCCGAGCTGGGGGGGCCCGCGGCCGCGTGGCCGCCCCGCGGGGTCTGCTCCGCGGCAGGAGGCCCCGCGGAGGCCCCCGAGGAGGCCCCGAGAGGCGCCCCCGTCCCGAGAGGCCCCGAGAGGCGCGCCCCCCCCCCCCCCCCCCAGGAGGCCCCGCTGAGGCCCCCGAAGAGGCCCCGAGAGGCGCCCCGAGAGGCCCGAGAGGTGCCCCCCCCCTAGGAGGCCCCCCCCCCCCCAGGAGGCCCCCGAAGAGGCCCCCGAAGAGGCCCCCCAAGAGGCCCCCGGGAGGCCCGCGGTCGCGTGGCCGGGGGCGAGTCGATCTGCGGCAGGAGGCCCCAGGAGGCGCCCCAAGAGGCCCCCAAGATAGGACGATGCCGAGAAGAGGCACCCAAGAGGCCCAGACGAGGCCCCTAAAGATGCCCCCCGAAGAGTCGTCCAGACTGCCTCCGAGAGGCCCCCGAGAAGCCTCCCACGACATCCCAACGAACATCCAAACAGGCTTCATACCCACAACCCAAGCACGGTGGCGGGACGGGCCGAAGCCCATTAGATCCGCCGCCCCCTTTTGATTCATCGCAGGGGTGCCTGGCGTGCTGGACCCTTTCGGTGTTTATATATATTATTATTATTATTATTATTATTATTATTATTATTATTATTATTATTATTATTATTAGTATTATTATTATTCTTATTATTATGATTATTACTATTATTATTATTATTATTATAATTATTTATTATATATATATATAAATAAAAAAGAAAAAAACTCCCCCTGGGGCTTCGGCCCGTCCCGCCAGGGTCCCGGGAGGCCCTTCCAGTACCGCAAAGTCCACAACACATCCTCCCTGAAACGGCCGTTTCGCTCGGGACATCCTCAACAAATCGCGAAGATGGCCCAAGATGGCCTCCAAGTCCGCCCAAGATGGTCCAAGACGGCCTCCAAGACGGCCCAAGAGAGTCCAAGACGGCCCAAGACGGCCCAAGAGGCCCCCGAGAGGCCTCCCAGACGGCTCAAGAGGCCTCCAAGGGGTCCTCCAGGAGGGCCCGAAGATGCCGAAATCCTTGATGTTTCTTAGGTTTTTAAAGGATTTTGGAATTTGCTTCTTCTCGGCATTCCGACTGCTCAAGACGGCCCAAGAGGCACCCAAGATCGCCCAAGAGGCCCCCAAGAGGGCCCCATGACGGCCCAAGTGGCCTCCAAGACGGCCCCAAGAGGGCCCAAGAGACCTCCAACACGCCCAAGAAGGCCCAAGACGGCCCCGAAGCGCCCCAAGAGGGCCCCCAGTTGGCCCAGAAAGGCCTCCAAAACGGCTCCCGACGGCGTCAGACGTGCCAGGACCCCACCAAGATGGCCGAAGTTGGCTCGAAGCTGGCCCAAGACGGCCCAAGAGGCCCCCAAGAGGGCCTCCAGGGAAGGCCATAAACTGCCAAAAACACAGATTGTCCCCTCCCTCTTTTCCCCATCAGTGTCCCCTCGACAGGTTTCCACAACGGCTCGGGGAACACAGCGTCCGAAGGGCGATGCATTGTGTCCTGCTCGCAATGAGTGCGCATCCTTTGCTGACTGGTTTTCGGCCAGGAAACCAACACGCTCTGTTGGCCGCAGCGCTTCCCGAGGTGAAGTGGATGATGGTGGTGGAGGAGGAGGAGGAATGATGGGGCAACTTGCATCTGCGCTAAACTAGAAACGCTCCGCCGAGGCGGCTGAACAAGGGACAGCACAAGACGGCCCAAGGAACCCCCGAGACGCCTCCAAGATGGCCACGACAGGGGCTCAAGATGAGAATTTCGAGCGACTCCAGTAGCAGACAAGGGTCTTTAAATCCCCCCCACAACAGTGGGAAACTGAATATTTTTCTGGCGGCCTTATTGACGGACTGGGACCCCGACAACAACGGAAACAAATTGTTAATCCCCGCCGCCACCGCTGACGACGACACCGACGATGACGACGACTAGGAGGAAGGGAAGGAGGAGGAGGAGGCAGCCTGAGGAGGAGAAGGAGGCCTGAGGAGGAGGAGGAGGAGGAGGAGGAGGAGGCCTCCGCCCAAAGATGGCCACCCAATTTTCAACCCGAATGTGCCACCAAGAGACTCCTGGGGGGGGACCAACCGCCGACCCGAGACTTCCTGGCAGGCTTCCGACCGCTTACGTTTACGCATTCTGTGAAGGGGCCCAGGGACACACAAATAAATAGATTTTCCCATATTTTCTATGTTTTTGTCTTCTCCTCCACTTTCCATATTTCCTATCCTTTTTGGGAAATCGACAATTGATTGTGTTTGTGTATTTTTTCCCTCCTGATTCTGCGGGAACCCATAAGGTAACAGTACCACTGCGACTCCCCAGACCTTTCCCGGGTGCACCGGGACTTCGAGGCATGGCGACGAGGGCCTCCCATGGAGACCCCATCAAGGGGAACACAAGGCAAGGGTAGCAGTAGTAATGGGTACCTGTTGCTCCCCCCGATAGCTGTAGTGGCTCTGCTTCGACTCAGAGCGACCAAGCGGCCGCGGAGGCTGGACACCGCGGCGATCGCCTGGCTGCCGCAGGACGCCCACAGCCGCAGGCGCACCACGGCGCCGGCAACCGAAGGCAGCGCAACGTAGGGCCGCGAGAGCTCGCGGGGGTCGAAGAGGAAGAGCTCCTCGCTACGGAGGCGGAGAAGGTAGGAGGGGGAAGGTTCCTCTCCTCCTCCCTCCCCCTTCCTCCTTCCTCCTCCTCCCACCCCTCCTCCTCCACCCTCCTCCTCCTCCCCTCCTCCTCCTCCTCCTCCTCCTCCTCCTCCTCCTCCTTCTCCCCTCCTCCCTCCCCCCCCCCTCTAGTCGCCGTCATTGCCCAGGTGCAGCGACGACGGCGGGGGCCCGCGCGACCAGGTGCGGTGCGCGCGGGCGCGCCCCTGGCCCCGCCTGGCACCCGCACCGGCGACGGCAGCGCGCCGCAGCCTGCGTGCTGGCAAGGCTGTGCGCCGCCTGGCCTGCATGCTCGGCATCACAGCAGTGTGCCTGCAGCCATGGGCCGAGAGAGGCGCGGGCCGTGGGCCCCGAGGCAGTGCGACGGCAAATCGAGCTGGCGATGTCCGGCGTGCTCCTCGGAACGCTTCGCCACGCGTGCGGCACGCAGAGGCTGCAGAGCCAAGAAGGCGGGCGGCACGCAGCACAGCGGAGGCGGTGGCCCACGCTCGGCCGAGGATATAGCAGAGCGCGGTCTGCAGGCCGCCCCAGCCCTGCCGCCAGGGCAGGCCAAGAACCACTGCGCGTGGGTGCAGCCGCCGCCGCTCAGCTCGCCGCTGGCCACAAGCAAGGGCGCGAACTCGCCGGACCCACCAACCGCCCGCGGTGGCAACGACGCGGCATCGGGCGGCAAAGTTGCGAAACTTCGGTGGTTCCAACCAGGTCACGAGGCAGCAACGGGCAGCAACGTGGCGAAACCTCGCTGGACCCACCCAGCGCACGAGGCGGCACTGAGGCGGCAACGGGCGGCAATGAAACCTCGCTGGTTCCACCCAACGCGCGAGGCGGCAACGAGACCGCAACGGGCGGCAACGTGGCGAAACCTCACCAGACCTACCAAGCGCGCGAGGCGGCAACGAGGCCGCAACGGGCGGCAACGTGGCGAAACCTCACCAGACCTACCAAGCGCACGAGGCGGCAACGAGGCGGCAGCGGGCGGCAACGTGGCGAAACCTCGCCTGAGCCACCCAGCGCACGAGGCAGCAACGGGCAGCAACCTGGCGAAACCTGGCCGGACCCAGTACACGAAGCGGCAACGAGGCGGCAGCGAGGCTGCAACGTGGCGAAACCTGACGAAACCTCGCCGGACCCACCCAGCGCACGAGGCGGCAACGAGGCAACGAGGCGGCAACTGGCAGCAGCGTGGCGAAACTTCGCCAGAACTATCCCGCGCACGAGGCGGCAGCGAGGTGTCAACGAGGCGGCAACGGGTCGGCGAACGGGTGGCGAAAATGCGAAACCCTCACAGGACCCACCCAGCGCACGAGGCGGCAACGAGGCGGCCACGTGCGAATACGTGGCGAGACCTCGCCGGACCCACCCAGCGCACGAGGCGGCAAAAAAGGTGGCAACGGGCGGCAACGTGGCGAAACCTCGCCGGACCCATCCAACTCCTTAGAGACACAACTAGGAACTCCTAAAAGTAAGCACTGCCTGGGCAATTTGCTCGGAAATCCGCGCGGATTTCTTGGATCGGCGCTGGACCCATCTCCCTGGCGCGCTTCGTGCGCCACAGGAGGCGGAGTTCCGAGAAATCATGTTTATGTAGTTTCTTCGAACTAAGAATGGGGTGAACGCTGGATGCGGAAACGAGGGGGCGCATAATTTGTTCACACCCCATCGTCCGGGAGTCATTGGCTCAGTGGCGCTAACAGCGCCCAAGGCCCAGGCGGAGCACAGTATTTGTCTGCTGCACCGTAGTTCGGTTGAGGCTGGGCTTCAAGAACAATTCATCGTCTGTTTCGATCTCGTCAATGTGATTAACTCTCTCGGGTGGAAGATGTGGTGGCTTCTGCCTGGGGGGCTCCTCCAACTACGAACGGGATGAACAGGAGGGTAGGAG